ATCTGGGTCCTGAGCCACAGTCTCCTACTGTCCCCCCTGGGAATTGTTCCAGGTCATGTATTATCTGGCTCAACAAAAATATTTTGTCAGGAACTTACTTTTAGAACTGTCCAAAACCACCCCGACCTCCCCGCCTCCAAAAAAACATTTTATTGGGAGCTAATACAGATATCAGACCATTCCATCGTTCAATACATCCAACAGTGTTGTACAATTGCTACCACAGTCCGTTTGGCATTTGGAAAGCACTTGGTAAAGAAATTTATGCTAAAAAATGAAGTTGTCATTTACCTCTAGAATGTTGATTCAAAGATAAACTAAATTAAATATTTTCCCAATGAGTATTGAACACCTACTGTAATTCCACCAGGGCCCCTGATGGCGTAGAGGTTACACATTGGACTGTGATTCACAAGGTTGGCAGTTCGAAACCACCAACAGCTCTGTGGGAACAAGGTGGGACTGCCTACTTCTGTGAGCGGCCACAGTCTCAGAAACTCACTGGGCAGTTCTCCTGTCTTGGGGTTGCTGTGCATCAGCATTGACTCGATGACAGCAAATTTGGCTGTCTTGCTGGTTTGTTTTCACTTTAATCCCAGCCATTGCCTCGATACTGTCTGGTGTTGCCGTGGCCAGAACAGAGCTCTGCTGGATTCTGTTCCCACGCTCACAGCCACTGCTCTGCGGGAGCCCATTTGGGCAGCCACGGTGCCCATCTGTCTTGTTAAAGGTCTTCTTCGTTTGTGCTGACCCTGTCCTTCTCCAAGCGTTGGTCACCTTCTGACGCCGTGGTTGGAATGGATGGTAAATCAATCAAATAACAGAGTTTTCAGAAAAGAATAGATAAGTGGATTGTGTATAACTCAGGTGGCTGTATGGGGCAGTGCTTAGTTCTAGTGCACACAGAGACCCTGTCTCTGAGTCAGGCCCGGCTCAGTGGTCCCTCACAACCCCAAGGTGGCCATGTCCCTCGTGCGCTTGACGGAGCCTCTGTTGGCACTTTTTCTGACTTCCTTAGGAGCGGTCCTCTCTCTCTCTCAAGAAAGCCCCAGCTTCGAGGACATATTCGAGAGCCCTCTGTAGTTTAATGCCCTTCTGGATGAAGCAGAACCTTCCACAAACTTCCGACCACTTAATTCTCGGTCTTTATCGTTTGCTCACCCCTATGTCGTGTTTCTCTCGCTTACGTTTGTAAATATTTTCAAGTTACTGGAGAATTGTGCGTTGTCCCTCATGGTGGCCCTGTCAAATTGACATGTTTCTGCATGTTAAAATGATATGTTTCTGGCATGTTTCTAGGGGGAGGGTGGACAGGGAAAAATAAAACATTTCAATGTACGAGGAGCAATGGCGATAGCGTATGGACATATTGGGCCCTAGAAATGCTAATCCACTTAGGGAGTGTGTGATCTCCTGTCACTTAGGGGGTGTGTGATCTCCTGTCCACTTAGGGAGTGTGTGATCTCCTCGGGGAGATTATTGCACACCAAAGGTTTTAACTTACCGCACGTAATTACTGAGTTGGGGACATTGGGCAAGGGGGACCCTGATGTGTACCTTTACACATCAGTGATTGAGAGTCCATGGATTTGAGATAGTCAGAACCTCTACTTGGAGTTTTTTCTTCTTTTTTCGCACCACAGGGCCTTGTCCTAGGTGATGTTGTGATTTTTATGGAGAATTGTTTGCATTCATATTTCTTGAGTGGTCATGATCTTGGCTGGTGTTTGCCTATAGGCAAGTATTGGCCAGTATCTCAAAGTCCTGGTTTTTCCTTCCACCATCATAGTTTGTTTCCAGTGGCTCTCAACTTATCAAACAACGAGTTGGAAATGCAGTTGAATTCCCAGATTAATCAGCTAATGGCTGAAGGCATCCTCACTGTACCCTATTCTGGAAAATTCTTGTTGAGGCGGCTACTACGCAGGTCCCATGATTGAGATATGCATGGAGTAGTCAGTCACCTGAGACCGTCCTTACGGCTCATCAGTGCCTCCC